CTTGATTTAGAACTGAATACGTTGCCCCATATCAATAAGAAATTTCACTTCTGTTCCTCTCCTAACTTCATTATAATCAGTGGAGGATCTGCTAGGGTAGATTCCCCGGGTCCCCATTAGACCTGTTGAAATCAGGGGCCGATGATTACCCTAGAAAAAGGCTAGTCGATTTGTCGTTTTTTTTTGTTTGTTTGTTTGTTTTGTTTTGTTTTGTTTTTTTTCCTTTCTTCCCCATTACATTTCAGAGTTGGTCCAAAAATTCCACAGGGGTTTCTTTTAGACCTTGTTGGAAGCATATTCTCAATTCCCAATTCGTCCAGATTCTAGTATTTACTTAACCGTTCATAATTTTCAGGATGATTAGGGCCTTAGTGGGGGTCGGTCAGAAAAATGCAATTGTCCACAGTTCCCTGAGCGATCCCATCGGCAATCTGAGCTCACACATGAACTCAGGTTGTTTTCAGAGTTAACTGCTTTTCTGTTTCTGTGACAACTCTCTAGGACCCATCATGATCCCTTTGCCCCAGAGGGCTAACACCCAAGATTTTAAGGTCTCAGCCCCAGGCCGAGGCAGAACTGTTAACATTCCTACATCCTCTTTCCCTGCTCATTCAACTTCAAACACCTTTAACACTTGCAATAACCCTTTTAACACTTCCTTTATCTTTCTCCAGCCTGTACTTTTCTAATGCCAGCATCAAAAGCGCAGTCAGGGACCAACTTAATTCCGTACCTTTTCCCTCCAAGATGCTGAAACAACATCAGTATACAACATTCCATCCTATTTTCCTTCTCAAAAACAACATTGACTGTAGCAAAGTATTATAGTTTAAAGCTCCATTAAAAGGCCACTTTTTTTCAACATTCCAGCTTATAAAGCAGCCACCATTGATTACAATATTTTGTCAGAGTTTTCTTATTTTCACTTCCACCCGGAGCCCCCCCTATATCCTTCCAATAACTCAAAATACAGCTCAACGTACTTTTCTTAGGAATTTCACTGCTTACTCGTCCCCCCATTTTCCAGTTCACACTTTCAGAATACATGTATCACTTACGAAACTGTGGGCACACAGGTATCTTTCAATAGCGATGTCACAAAACTACTATTTTTACCAGGAGATATTGCCAAAATCACAATAACAATAATCAGAGTCAAATTCCACATGCGATAGGTCAGAAAACCAAAATATGTAACACTGTAACGATATCTTTCTTATAACAACGCCATGAAACTACTATTATCACCAAGAAAATAGCCAAAATCGCAGTAACAATAACCAGAGTTAAATATCACACTCCATGAGTCAGAAAACCAAAGTAGGCAACACAATTCCAAACGGACCTTAAAGCGAGCTCTTTCCTTAAGGTCCCCAAATATACTTATGGTGCTTACCACAAAGTATATACCAAACACTGCCTCGCAGAAGATCACCTTCTGACTTACAGACAGTTCCAGACACAGATGGACCTCAAGGTCCCCAAATATACTTGTGGTACTAACCACAAAGTATATACCAAATACTGTCCTGCAGAAGATCACCTTCCAACTTAACGGACAGTTCCAAATGACCGGTCTACCAGAAAACCAAACCAGAATAAAGAATATACTCACTTACAATGATGGGGTCCTTGTCTGCCTCCGCAGTGATCCGGTGAGTCGAGGAGTCCCTCCGGGAAATCCCGGGGGTACCCTAGGGAGTCCTGTCCCCAGCGGGTCCTGCGGACCGGCAGAGAGGTTGTCCCATCTGGGTCGCCAAATTGATTTAAAGATCAAAGCCGAAATGTCCTTAAGTGGTATATTCTTTATTGCAGCGCTGGATGCACGGGGGATCCTTCCACCTATCGTGCATGTTCGAAGTGACAAAATATCTCATATTTATACAGCGAAACAATGAATATTCAATTAGCATGCATACATATTCATTACCTAACCCCGCCTACCCTCGCTTCGTATGCTAATTAGCTTATCAGTCCTTGCGCTTGCGCAAAGCCTTCCAAGAATTGTGGGCCGGGGTCTCCAGGATGTGGGCAGTGGTCTTTGGGAGGAAGGCTGTAGGTCTTCCTCGTAATGCACTTTTCACCTTTACTTAATCAGTTGTTTTCCAAGCTGTAAAAATGCTGAGTTGGCTTTCAGTTTAACTGAGGGTCGGCAGATAACAGGAAGTCTCAGTTAACAAGACAAGACAATTGACTCAAGTTATCTCAAGTCTCAGCCTGACTAACGGTTAACAGATACTGGGATGTTTTCAAATAACAAGATGCTTAAATGTAACAAAAGGTCTACAGATAACAAGATGTCGTTTACTTTGTCCTTGCTAACTTTTAACCACAAGTTTTATTCTATCCTAAAGTGTGTTTATACTATATCAGTTTAGCCCAGCTGAGTGGCGCCACATAGGAGATTGCTTATGGGATAAAGCCATCTCAAGTAGAAAGCTAGATAAAGATGTAAGTGGGACGTGGCACACAGTGATTAATGTGCTGTGCGGTATGAAAACTGAACAGCAGCTCGCTGTGGAGGTGGTGCAAGCCTTGTCAGTACCGTCTGGGACTGACAGACTGCCGAGTACAAAACCTGAGACCTCAGGAACGCGGCTGGCATGATCTTTTTCGTTGGTTCCTGTGCCCACCCTGGTTCGGGGTATGACCTCTTCTATAAAGGAATAAGCGACAGAAATAACTAAGGGACTATTGGAGCAGAGTGTTGATGGGGAGTGAGGGTTGCCCTCCCCACCCCCTGGGCTGGAAAATCTTGATGAAGCTGCGCTGCCAGCATCTGTGCCGCTGCCAGGCAGCAATAAATCCACTTGGGATGCTTCGCCAATGAGAGGTGCAGCAGCACTGGAGGAGTTGTTCCAAGAACTTCGAGACTTGGAACAAGAGAAATTGGAGAAGTTAAAAATTATGGATTCGGAGGAGCTTCCTCTCATGTCTGCCCCACCGGAGCCGACTCCCTCTTTATCCGTCGCTACAACACCGTCGGCACCAAGGAGGGACAGGTGGTCCGACGTCATACGTGACGCCATCATAGAGGGGCATAGGCATGCTACATCCTTGCCCTGCCCTATTATTATTGACCCCATGCAAGGCACCGGGTTGTGGCAGCCATGTGATTGCAAGCTTTTGCAACAAGCTCGAAAAACGGTTATGGACTACGGTTTACAATCCCAGGCTATTTACTTTCCATTATATGTTTAACATTCAGTTTGGTAGGTCACAGTGCTTCCAGGATTCTGATTTAAAGTTTATTCGGGATACTTTGGAAGCAAAAGGGTTGAAGATAGCCCCAGAGAAGGTTCAACAGAAACATCCACGGCTATACTTGGAATGGAAAATATCTGACTCTAGTATTCATCCACAGAAAAGTGATGTAACTACAATGTTACATAATTTGACAAATACACAAATGTTCTTGGATAGCATTATACGGGTTACTAATGACGATTTAGCTATATTACTGCCTTTATTGCGAGGCAGCAGTGCAGAGCAGCAGATTACATTAACGAATGACCGACGTCAGGCTCTTCCACAAATAGTTTCTAAGGTTGCAACTGGCACTACTTGCAGACGTTGCACTCTCCTTCCTAATTAGCAATCATTTGTCTCATCCATTTGTGGTGATTGGTCAGTGGCAAAAAGAAAAGGGGGAGAGTAAGGGGCAACAAAGACAGAAACGGTACCAGGAGGATGCCACTGACACTAACAGCACGGGTAATAGGAGTAGTCTAAGTGACACAGGTGATGGCAAGTGTGGAATGATAGGGCAGAATTTTCAAGTTCTGGAATGGATTTTCCTACAGATTCAGCCAAAAACTGTTGAGGGATTTCTTGAAACAGCAAAAATCCCATGGCTTGCTGTAGCTGAGCAAACCAAGCTACCAGGGCAACTATGAGAAGTTCCCATGACAGTGTTCCCACATCGCCCAATTGAGGAAGTCAGAAAAATATTGTTACCAGTAGCTGGCTTCAAGGACAAGGTCTATGTGACTGCTAATCACAAGGGGTTGTTTTCTTGCAGGTGGGGTTGTTTTCTTATAGTTGTTTGTCTGAGTGCTTTTGACCAATAATCTTGTGTGAAACACTGTCCACCCCTGTTAAGTTCTATATAAAAGTTAGGCTATTTGGGCAATAAAATGGAGCATAATCTGACTCTACTGGTGTCTGTCGTGCTTTCGGCCGTGCTTCCTGCAACATATGGCGCCCGAACAGGCTGAGGCCGGGACATCGGAGTGGCGCCAGGACATCGGAGCGGCGCCAGGAGATCCGAGGCACACGTCAAGCCGACCACCGCACAGAGAGAAGCATTGAAACACCCTACTAACCGACCTGGGCAACGGCCTCGGGGTGAGAAACGGGACGCGGAATCGCGGTGGGACGCGGAAAACGGAATCACAGTGGGACGCGGAATCGCGGTGGGACGTGGAAAAAGGAATTGCGGTGGGACAAGGAATCGCGGGGGGACGCGGAAAAAGGAATCGCGGAGAGGCGGGAAATTTGCAGTAATCGCATGAAATTGAAGTAATCGCGGTGCGATGCGGGACATCCGAGATCGAGTTGCTACGGGAGACCAGAGGCGTCAGTGGAGAACGGCAGCCGACCCTCACCATGTGGCGAGTCGGCACAGAGCAGAGGGACGGACATCAGGACCCTGCAGCCTGTCTGACGTAACCATGGAGGCAGCGGCGGCTGTGCTGCTTCTCTCTGGCATTCTTTTTATGAGAGGTTTATCTTGCAATGCAAAAAAGACTATTCATCCCCAGATCGGTGTTATAACTATGTTTCTGGATAACATTCCGTGGGGTTGCCACATTCTGCGGATTACTAGTGACAATTTAGCTCTATTGTGGGGCAGGAGTGCAGAGGCGCAGATTACACTGCCAAATGCCCACTGGCAGGCTCATTCACAAACAGCTTCTAAGGTTGCAGCTGGCACAGCCTACAGCCGTATAGCAGACGTTACACTCTCTTTCCTAACTAGTAATCATGTGTCTCATCCATTTGTGGTGAATGGTCAGTGGCAAAAAGAAAAGGGGGAGAGTAAGGGGCGACAAAGACAGAAATGGTACCAGGAGGATGCCACTGACACTAACAGCATGGGTAATAGGAGTAGCATACGTGACACAGGTGCAGGGTGGCGGCAGGCGCTGCCACGCTGTGGGGCTTTCTGCCTGCTGCTCGCCCTCACCTGCCTGTGCACTGCTGCCGACAGTGCTAGAGCAAAATGTGAAGAATCCCAGTTCCCATGTAGTAATGGACGCTGTATTCCTTTACTCTGGAAATGTGATGGTGATGAAGACTGCTCAGATGGCAGTGATGAGAGTGCTTGTGTGAAGAAGACGTGTGCTGAATCTGACTTTGTGTGCAACAGTGGTCAGTGTGTGCCAAACAGATGGCAGTGTGATGGGGATCCGGATTGTGAAGATGGGTCTGACGAGACTGCTGAGCTGTGTCATATGAGAACATGCCGGGTAAATGAAATCAGCTGTGGTCCTCAGTCGACCCAGTGTATCCCAGTGTCCTGGAAATGTGATGGTGAAAGAGACTGTGACAGTGGAGAAGATGAAGAGAATTGTGGCAATGTGACTTGTAGTGCAGCAGAGTCCACATGCAGTAGTGGACAATGTATTTCCAAAAGCTTTGTCTGCAATGGTCAAGGTGACTGCACCAATGTCGCGTTAAAGGGGTGTAGCTGATTAACCGTTACGGGCCCGTTTGGATTCAGAGTACTGAACCAGTCGGACATTCACCAAAACTGGGGGTCCGTTCGGACATTCACCAAAAACGTAATAACCGCCTGGGGGTCCGCTCAGACATTCACCAAAAACGTATTAACCACCTGGGGGTCCGTTCAGACATTCACCAACAATGCATTAACCGTCTGGGGGTCTGGTTAGATTCAGAACACTGAACTATCACGGATAACCACCCTCACCCTAGTCGCATTAATGAGAGCTATCACAATGCAATCAAGTATGGTTTATTACAGCAACAGATAATCAGGTTCTTTTGGATTGCCGGTGATAGTGACTATCTGCAAAAGCAAGCTAGTATGCATGAAATACACAGGTGTTATAGGCGTTACAGATGTTATACAGGTGTTGTAGGTGTTACAGATGTTACAGATGTTATAGATGTTATAAGTGTTACAGATGTTATAGATGTTATAGATGTTATAAGTGTTACAGGTGTTACAGGTGTTACAGGTGTTACAGGTGTTACAGGTGCGCAGCCTAGAAATAAACGCGTTAAAAGGATCAAAGACTCTATACAGATTTATAAGCAAATATTCAGATCTCACCCAAAGGCGTCCCAATGGGGGGGGAAGAGAGGCTCAGCCCGTCGACTGATCCCAGGAGTCAGGAGGTCCTAAGGATGTTGTATGTCCTCGGGATGGTATCTCCCCTGATGGTGGTATCTTCCCTAACATCCCCTCTCTCTTGGGCCAATTTATATTATTTTCTATCTTTTAGGTGGAGCTTGAGTGGCTCTAGTCAAGCATATCTTAGTTATGATTGGTGTAAAGTTTTCCCGTCTCCATTTAAAGTAATAGGCTCCGAGAAATTCAGGGCGCATGCTCAGTGAGGGGTGGTCGCACCTTGGAGGTGGGTAGCTTTTGGGATGGAGGTGTGTTTTGGTATTATAATGATATTATAATGAGCAAAAAGTACACTAGGGTACAGCATTTGTCAAAACATGACAGGTCTTTGGCTTAGGGTGGCAAAAAGTGCAGCTTTGTGCACAAGAACAATCAAGGCCCCACCCGATTACAGAGCCTAGCCGTGGTGTCTCCACTCCACTCCACGCTCCGTGGTGTTCCTTAGAGCTAGCACACCAAGTTTCCCCAGCGCGATAGCATCTAAGGTTGGGAGCCTAGGGAACGCTCAGGTAATGCAGTTATGCCCTACCCTGAAAGCCTCTTCAATGCTGTACCTTTTTCTTAAAAATGTGAATGTTAGTTTTATTTTCCTAGTTACTTCAGGCATTTACACCACAACCAACCACTCGGATGAATCTTTGGAGCAGTGTGGCCGCCAGCCTGCACCTCTGGTGAAGTGTTATGTGAGTGAGGTGCAGTGCGGCTCAGGTCAAAAAGACTGTGACAGAGATCCTGATTGCAAGGATGGAAGTGATGAAATTAACTGCCCTTCTCAGACCGGAAGGCCAGACCAGTTCAGATGTGAAGATGGGAACTGTGTTCATAGGAGTAGGCAGTGCAGTGGTGTGAGAGACTGTCTGGATGGCACTGATGAAGCAAACTGTAACAATGTTACAATGAACACCTGTTAACGACAGTCGTTAGCTAGGTGAGAATGGTCTCCACCAGGCATGGAGCGCTCTGCAGGAGGTCGGTACACACCCAGACCGAGTACCCGCTAAAGAATGCAGCGGTTCAGGTCACGGGATGCAGGGAGTGTCAGAGCCTGTTCCTGCCATCGGCAGGAGGCAGAGACGCTGCGTGTGTTAGGTGTGAGCAAGTGGATGACCTGATCCGCATGGTGGCGGAGCTCAAGGAGGAGGTGGAGAGGCTGAGGGCCATCAGGGAGTGTGAGGGGGAGATAGACTTCTGGAGCAACTCCCTGCAGGGCCTCAAGGAGAGGTACCGGGGTGAGACACCCCAAATGGGGGTGGACACCCTGCCCAGTCGCCGTCGGGCAGAGGGAGGGGATCTGGGAGTTGAGGAGGAATGGAAACAGGTCCCTGCTCGACATCGCAGGCGATGCCCTCCTCTTCCGACCCCACCTTCCCAGGTGCCCTTACAAAACAGGTTTGAGGCCCTGGAGAATGAGAGATCAACAGCAACTGAGGAAGAGGTAGAAAGTGTTCCCAGGAGGATTCCTAGGGTGAGGAGGTCAACTCCACGCATCAGGACTGCCTCCACCAAGAACGAAAGAAGGGTGATTGTTGTGGGTGACTCTGTCCTTAGGGGAACAGAGGGCCCTATTTGTCGGCCTGACCCTACCCGTAGGGAGGTCTGCTGCCTCCCTGGGGCCAGGGTCAGGGACATTGCCAAGAAGGTCAAGCGCCTGGTACGGCCCACTGACTACTACCCGCTATTGGTCTTTCAGGCTGGTAGCGATGAAGTAGCAAAGAGAAGTCCGAAGGCGATCAAAAGAGACTTTAGGGATTTGGGGCGACAACTTAGAGGTTCAGGCGCGCAGGTTGTGTTTGCCTCTGTCCTTCCGATAGGGGGGATGGAAGCTGAAAGGTGCGCTGTTCACATAAACTCGTGGCTTCGTGACTGGTGTGACCGGCACAACTTTGGGTTCTTTGATCACGGGAAGGTCTATGCTACACCGGGCCTGATGGCACCGGATGGGATGGGCCTCTCTCGGAGAGGGGTAAGGATCTTGGGTCAGGAGTTGGCAGGGCTGATAGATAGGGCTTTAAACTAGAGTCGAAGGGGGAAGGGGCTAAAACCAGGCACGCCGGTGAAGACCTAAGGGATGGTACGCTAGAATCAGAGGGGCTGTGTGCCAGTGAGGTCCTTCGGTTCGATCCACAAGGTGCTGAGTGTAAGGAGACGCACCTGAAATGCTTCTACACAAACGCACGCAGTATGAGGAATAAAATGGATGAGCTAGAAGTCCTGGCCCAGTCCTGCAACTACGACATCATCGGCATAAGCGAAACCTGGTGGGATGAGTCCTGTGACTGGGGTGTTGCGATAGACGGTTACAGGCTCTTCAGGAGGGACAGGCAGGGTAGGCGAGGTGGTGGGGTGGCGATGTATGTGAAGCAGGGGCTGGACTGTGTGGAACTTCAGGTCGGCGATGGCAAAGTTGAGAGCCTCTGGGTAAGGATCAAGGGACGAACGAATAAAGGGGATGTCGTTGTGGGAGTCTATTACAGACCGCCTGGCCAGGACGATAGCGCCGATAACTTATTCTTTACAGAACTAAGAGAGGCCTCGAGATTAACTCCCCTTGTCCTTATGGGGGACTTCAACTTGCCAGACGTTAACTGGGAGTGCCACACGGCTGACACGAGCAAGTCCAGGAGGTTCATGAAGCACCTAGATGATAACTTCTTGGTGCAGGTGCTAACGGAGCCAACTAGGAAAGGTGCCCTCCTAGACCTGTTGCTAGAAAACAGAGAGGGTCTGGTGGGAGATGTGGTGATTGGTGGCCGCCTCGGTCAGGCGCAACATCTTGAATTACCTGAAAATTTAAAATAATAGGTGGGAAAATTTACCTAGATGATTGGTTATCTGCTTTGAAGCGAGCCCCCACTAACTCGTGGAAAAATTGAACGCAAATAGGAGAACCATCAGGTGTGTAAGCCTGGACCATTTCCTAAGAAGCATCAGGGAGAGGGCAAGACCGGAAAAGGGACCAGTACCGCGGCTCAAGAAGGTTTACCAAGGGTTGCAACCCCTTAGGGTAATAACCGCCGGGTAACATGACCTTTACCGGACCTCTCCTAATTACATGCTATTGGTCTCAGAATTGTAGTGAATGTATTGTTAAGACCCGGAGAGGAAGAATTCAGAGTTGAGACTTCATTCATAACACAGGCGAGCATCAATCAGCACCCAAAGATCCTTTTCCTCTGCAGAGCTTTCTAGCCACTCTGCCCCAAGCCTGTAGTGTTGCATGGGGTTGTTGTTGCCAAAGCGCAGGACCCGGCACTTAGCCACGTTGAACCTCATGCTATTGGCCAATGTCCATCGATCCAACCTGTCCAGGTCCCTCTGCAGGGCCTTCCTACCCTCTGGCAGATTGACCCTTCCCCTCAACTTGGTGTCATCTGCAAACGACAGGCTGGATATCAGGAAAAGGTTCTTCACTGAGACAGTGGTTGTGCACTGGAATAGTCTCCCCAGGGAAATGGTCGTGGCACTGAGCCTGCCAGAGTTCAAGAAGTGTTTGGACAATGACCTCAGATGACATTGTCTGATTTTTGGGTGGTCCTTTGGGGACCCACGAGTTGGACTCAATGATCCTTGTAGGTTCCTTCCAACTCAGGATATTTTATGATTCTATGAACTTTTAGAAAAAATAAGATTATGTGTTTGCTTTCCTATACTAAAATTCTTGCGTTTTGAATAAGAGAATCTAACATTTTGCCCAAAATATTTTAACTTTGGTTACTTTAAAATTACTTTTGATGCATAATGATGAAGTTTATTAATATATAAAATGATGAACTAATTCCGAATGAGTGTGTAGAGCAAACTGTGCAGTGTGGTCCTCTCTACTGCAAAGAAAAATCGAGGCTTTCTAAGTTCATTATAAATTTTTTCCTTATTCAACATCTTAGAAATGAATTGATAGCAGTTTCTTGCTAATGTAGATTTCTGTATAAATTTCCTTTAGATGTTTCAGACTCAGTTTTTAAAAACAAAACATCATGAATAGAACATCTTTTTACTGATAATTATTTCCCTGTTTATTTTTTACAGTCTCTTCATTAGGAAATGGCAGTTGCTTGTTAAAGCCTCCTATGGTGGAACAGCAATAATGACATTTGTTGATTCAGGAGCGTTGCCCTAATTTTTTTTTTCTTTTAGGTTGTCTTTCATTCTCCTAATGAAGCGGTCTTAAATAGGCTACTTCCAATCCCCTACATCCACTAAGCACTGTGAGATGAGCTAACTCTCAGTATGAGACCATGAGAACAATCTCTTTTGTGTATGTTGATGAGGATTTGTAGAAATGAATAGCACTGTGCAAGGTCATGGCAAAATATCCTGACAGAAAAGTTCTAAGGAAAATGATGAGTTAAGTAAAGACAGTGGCAATAATGCCTGAGTTTAACAAGATTAAGCTCTAAAGCTTTATTCTGATAGATGCTGAGCATTCCCAGAAAAGTCAAATAATTTTTAAAGCTTTGACAATTGAGTCCTTCACAAGATCAAGCCCCAAATTAATCCAAACTCTATATTTTTTCTTTTAGTATCAATAGCAGTAAGAGAATAAACTTCCAAAGAAAAAAAAGCTAAATAACATTTTCAAAGACCTATAGACATAAGTCACTTAATGTTAAATTAATACAGCTAATGACTTCCTGAAATCACACAAAATACAAGTCTGAAATACAGCTCTGTATGCCTTTCTGCGTGAACCAGTGGGGCAAGCTGCCCCCAAATCCGTTTAATTTAGATGAATATGGAAATTTATATAATGAAATTATATGTTTTAATATTTTTTTCCTGGTCCATTAAAAAGATTTGATAAATATCTCACAGGAAAATTATTATGTTTGATCCAAAGTTATATGACTGTGATAAAGCCAAACTGACTAATGAAACTCATAGCTGGGATACAGTAATGCAATTTAATGAGACGATTAAGTGGCTAAGAGAAGCTCCTGAAGGACCAGACATGCCTCATGGCTTTGTAGTCCAAACCCATCCCTTGCCACCAGAAAACTATTCCTGTTTTTTCCTGTTTTTTGTAGGTTTATTTTTTCTGTCAATTAGTTCTGAATCATCTCACGATGGTGTCAAACACCAGAACTTGTACAAGGGAAGCAGAAGGAGAGCATGTCTGGAAGCAGAAAGCTAGCCTTTTTGGCAGCAGTCTGCTATTACGTTGGGATGGCTGTATTGTTAGACTACATCCTTTGCAATATGGTGGCAGCGCTGCTAAAACAAGTTCAGCATTCCTCACTTTGCCCTGCTTATCTTTAAGCTGGCTCTGTTCTCACCATGTAGCTGAACAAACAACATCAACCAGTTTGATGACAAGGAGAGAACAAAGGTGTGTAAAAGAGCGTCTGGGCTCAGGAACTCATGGCTACTCAAACTAGCACTGCCTTCCAAAAATCGGTATAAATATAAACACTTATGAAGACATACAGATGTTCTTGTTACATTTAAGAAAAAATCTCACTGCATGAGTGAATCAGAGAAATCACAGACCTTAACAGAAAGGTGGGTCTTAACAGCATTTATAAGACTCCACATAAGCACTTAAAGTGGTATGCCTTTCTCTGTGGCTTCTCTAGAAACACATCAAGGAGAAAGGTTGTATATGATGTATATCATAGGTCCTCTATGCAAAAAAAACTTTTCTAGAGGATGCTAATCTAACTCTTGTTTACAGTACTTGATTTGAATTATATCTGAATGTGGATGCTGGATACGTCTCAGTGATTCTAAAAGGTTTTGCACGTGCCACCATAGAGATGCAAACCAAACAGCATACTCCTGTCAGTCCAATACTTATTGACAGAAACAACATAAAAATATGCTAGCAAATAAGTGTGTTATACACATAAGTCTCAACTCACTCTGAATTTAGTAACATAAAAGAATATTTATAAAAGGCAAGTAAACAGCACTGGGCGCGCGGGGAGTCTATGCTCTACCAACACGCACACGCACCCGTCGAACTTTCCAAATATATATAGAACATTGCTGTTACATATTTGTATATGTAACAGCCTCAATCACCCTTCTTTGTTTCCTCTAAACTCTTTCCATTCCTGATGACCTCATCGTTAAGAGTCTGATTTATCACCAACCGCAGGGCTTGTCGACCCCATCGCCACACTCCCACATCTCCCCCTTCTTTATTAATATCAACCATTTTTCTGACACAAATTACCACTTCATATATAACAAGTGTAATGTGTGCTAGCTGCAAATGTACTTGCCCCATCCCTTTCTAACTCTTGTTAAGGGAAAACATTTAATAAATTACCATGTTGTTTGTACTTCATCCTCCTGCCTGCAAACACATGCTCTTCTAACCACAGTTTCATCAATAGAAAGAGTATGTTTGTTAAACCAGAGTAAGATACTGTCAAAATGTCACTGACTGGTGTGAATAGTAGAGGCCAAAACAATCTCTAGTGGCTTTACAGTGATTTTTACCTTACAGTTAACCACAAATAATGAAAGACCCTGTTATATATGGAGTGGTAATTTGTGTCGAGAAAATTGTTGATGTTAATAAAGAAGGGGGAGATGTGGGAGTGTGGCCATGGGGGTCGGAAAACCCGATGGTTGGTGATAACATCAGACTCTTAAGGATGAGGCCATCAGGAATGTAAAAGAGTTTAGAGGGAACAAAGAAGGGTGATTCAGGAGACTCCATGCAGTCTCCTGTTTCTTGTTCTCCAGCTGGGTTGCTTGCTCTCCAGCTGTTAAGGCATAGAAGTTTCTGGGTGTTTGCTGTTGCTGTTATATGCAAAGTTGTTTGACCAATGAAAAATTGTTTTGAAAAGAACTGCTGTGGGGAGAAGGGTATAAGAGGGGAGCCTGTCCTCAAGATAAAAAAAAAGGCAACATGATATAATGAAGTTATGTCATCAATGGGGAGGCAGAGAGAAGGAATGAAAAGAAACAGGCTAGCAGAACGGAGACGAGGACGGGAACAGGCACATTGATTGCCTCACAAAGATAGGTTTGGCCAAACTCAGCAAACCGCTCAGAGAAGCTCATACAGAAAGTCACTGGAAATGGGCGCACTGGAGCTGGGAAGAAGCTCAAGCTGAGAGAAGTGGACCCACGCACACAACTGCCCCTCGCTGGTAAGCAGTTGCGCATTATGGGGAATCATACGTCCTTAGGAACAAAGACTGTCCCGGTAACCTTACAGCTTATTCTCCTTATTAACAATCAGGGAGTTTGTGATCCTGAAACATGGGACCAAACTGAGGTCAAGGTGTGGGACTCTGCAACTAAAAACGACAAGGTTGCGGTGGGATTGCTCGGCACCTGGCG